TTATACACATCTAGATGTGTATAAGAGACAGGTGACTATGCGTGTCATCCTTGCGCAGGGGCCACGCTAATCTGCTCCGTAAAGAGGGGGGGTTACGCCCCTCCTCTTCAGGTTCTTTTCACACAAGTGTGCACGTTAAATGTGTACGAGAATGTGCGTCTCTTTATTTGCGAGGGAGAGAGGGAGCGAGGGAGAGAGGGAGAGAGAGGGAGGGGAAGGAGGGGTCAGGGGTGGAGAAAATGAAAGGGAGCGCGTTCTGGTCATGAGAGAGGGAATAGTGGTCGACTGCCAAGGAGAGGACAGGACAGAGTGAGAGAGAGGTAAAAGGTACAACGCCACCAAGGAAGACAACATCAGCAAAGCATCCCCACCTGTTTGTGGAAGATGTAGAGAAAATAGGGAAAGAGGAACGAGAGAGAGAGAGAGAGAGAGAGAGAGAGTACCTCCCGCAATAGACCGCTCCAGGATACGGGACTGCCAACCATCGCTTCCGCGGTAGTCGATACGCCGCCGGCTGGGAGTCATCGCTTCTGAAAGACAAGTGCTGACGAAACGGCGATGGTAATCCTTCACGAGACGGCGGCTAACAGGGATGGCGATGGCGATGGCGATGGCGATGGCGATGGCGATAGCAAAAAGGAAACGCTGACAACCTGAAGGCGATGATGATGCTACTGCTGATGGCAGCTGACAGGGATAGCTATGGCGATAGCAAAAAAAGAAACGCTGACGAGCTGAAGGCGATGCTGATCCTGATGCTGATGCTGATGCTGATGCTGATGCTGATGGCAGCTGACTAGACTGCGATGGCGGAAGGAAAGGTTGACAAGCCGAAGTTGATGGTGATGGCGATGGCGATGGCGATGGCGACAACGATGTCGAGGGGAATGGTTGGGGGGGTGATTAAGGACCATTCGCACTGGATATGAAAACGTAGCCACGTGTCAGCACACCTGTACGTCACTTCCAGCCACTGCGAATTTCGAGAACAGCGGCCAAGGCAACTATTTGCAGCTCACAAAAAAAAAAAAAGAACAGCGGCCAGCACCGAGGGGTTCGAGCCGGCGACTTTTCTGCTCGCATGGCGTAATCACAGACGGGAGGGCCTGTTGTGACTTGCGCAGAGTCACACATGGGCTACTTGCGCCGAATGTGAGCCGCGATGAAGGACAGATGCATCCGTGAGTTTGCCTGAGGGCCAGGCTGAATCAGATTCGTGGCACAGATATTTCCAGGTGCGGAACTGCGATGGTCCACCCTTGGCCCGGGGCTAGGTCCCACTTGCGCGAATTAAGCGATATTGACCGTAGATAGCAAAGATCAACGGCCAGAGTCTCTTAATCCGCGCAAGTGGGACCTTGCCCCCGGACAGGACACATCCCACACGATAATTATGGGGGATTGGCGAAGCTCTGTACTCTCGATGCACACGTACGAAGGGGTATTCGGTACCTAATTCCAAAAAAAAAAAAAAAAAAAAAAAAAACAGTACCTAACATGAGCTGAATGGTGCACCCATGATTCGAAGTCTATGTGACGTTGTAAACCAGCCATGTTACTGGCTGAGAGCATTGAGAAAAGGGTGAGGAGATCTATTGAGTGAGAGAAGAATGTAGCTTAGGGGCTGATCCCACCACTACACTACGAATGTAGAAGCCAAAAATCACTCCGTGGCGGGGTCAAAAAGAGAAACCGGATCCCACGGAGGCCGACTTCTTCGATGGTATTCCTGGACCCGCGGCGGTTCTTTATGGGCTGTTATAGAGGGTGGAGTCTTTGTTTTTTTTTGTTTTTTTTTTGAAAAGAGTGACAATGTATTTCAAAAATATGGTTCACCCGTGTATTTCAACCCGCGGCGGTTCTTTATCCTGGCAGCCTCAGCCAATTTAGCTTCCAAACCCAAGAGCCTAGCTCAGTGGGTACACCCATGAACTGTTGAAATACAGACCTGTGTTCGAATCCAGATGATGGAACTTGACTATTAAAACAAACTAGTAATGAATTGCTTGGGGCCGGTCAGCTCACTGAGAAAAAAAAAAAA